TTTCAAGGCCGACCTTCAAACTCAGTGCATCTTTGCTTGACATCATGTGAAAATCAAAAGAAATCAGCCAAGACCTCAGAAAAAGAATTGTACACCTCCACAAGTCTGGTTCATCCTTGGGAGCAATTTCCAAATGCCTGAAGGTACCACGTTCATCTGTACAAACAATAGTACGCAAGTATAAACACCATGGGACCACACAGCCGTCATACCACTCAGGAAGGAGACGCAATCTGTCTCCTAGAGATGAACGTACTATGGTGTGAAAAGTGCAAATCAATCCCAGAACAACAGCAAAGGACCTTGTGAAGATGCTGGAGGAAACAGGTACAAAAGTATCTATATCCACAGTAAAACAAGTCCTATATCGACATAACCTGAAAGGCCACTCAGCAAGGAAGAAGCCACTGCACCAAAACCGCCATAAAAAAGCCAGACTACGGTTTGCAACTGCACATGGGGACAAAGAGCATACTTTTTGGAGAAATGTCCTCTGGTCTGATGAAACAAAAATATAACTGTTTGGCCATAATGACCATCGTTATGTTTGGAGGAAAAAGGGGGGCGCTTGCAAGCCGAAGAACACCATCCCAACCGTGAAGCACGGGGGTGGCAGCATCATGCTGTGGGGGTGCTTTGCTGCAGGAGGGACTGCTGCACTTCACAAAATAGATGGCATGAGGAAGGAAAATGTTGTGGATATATTGAAGCAACATCTCAAGACATCAGTCAGGAAGTTAAAGCTTGGTTGCAAACGGGTCTTCCAAATGGACAATGACCCCAAGCATACTTCCAAAGTTGTGGCAAAATGGCTTAAGGACCATTCAAGTCAAGGTATTGGAGTGTCCATCACAAAGCCCTGACCTCAATCCTATAGACAATTTGTGGGCAGAACTGAAAAAGCGTGTGCGAGCAAGGAGGCCTACAAACCTGACTCACACCAGCTCTGTCAGGAGGAATGGGCAAAAATTCACCCAACTTATTGTGGGAAGCTTGTGGAAAGCTACCCAAAACATTTGACCCAAGTTAAACAAGTTAAAGGCAATGCTACCAAATACTAATTGAGTGTATGTAAACTTCTGACCCACTGGGAATTTGATTAAATAAATAAAAGCTGAAATAAATCATTCTCTCTACTATTATTCTGACATTTCTCATTCTTAAAATGAAGTGGTGATCCTAACTGACCTAAGACAGGGAATTTTTTACTAGGATTAAATGTTAGGAATTGAGAAAAACAGAGTTTAAATGTATTTGGCTGAAGGTGTATGGAAACTATAGACTTCTACTGTAGCCTCATTACTACCTGGTAGCCCTGGACATTGACTCAGTACTGCTACTTCCTGTATATAGCCTCATTACTACCTGGTACCCCTACACATTGACTCAGTACTGCTACTTCCTGTATATAGCCTCATTACTACCTGGTACCCCTGCACATTGACTCAGTACTGCTACTTCCTGTATATAGTCTCATTACTACCTGGTACCCCTGCACATTGACTCAGTACTGCTACTTCCTGTATATAGCCTCATTACTACCTGGTACCCCTGCACATTGACACAGTACTGCTACTTCCTGTATATAGCCTCATTACTACCTGGTACCCCTGCACATTGACTCAGTACTGCTACTTCCTGTATATAGTCTCATTACTACCTGGTTCCACTGCACATTGCCTTGTTATTGTTATTTTATTGTGCTGTTATATTTCCTTTAGTTTATTTAGCAACATTTTGTTACTTAAAAAAAGAAAACTCTGCATTGTTGGTTAAGGGCTGGTAAGTCAGCATTTCACAGTAAGATCTACTACACCTGTAGAATGTGACATAATAAAAATGTGATTTGATAACGTTTCTCTCAGGTGTGGATTCTTTCATGCTCTTTCAGTTGCCTTAGGCAGGTAAATTTAAATCCACAGTGGGAGCAGTGGTAAAGCTTCTCTATCCAGAATGTATTCTCTTATGTATTTTCAGGGTCCCTAAACGGGTAAAACTCTTGCAACACTGGAAGCATTGGAAAGGTTTTTCTCCAGTGTGTGATCTCTCATGCCTTTTCAGGTTCCCCAACTGGCTAAAACTCTTTTCACACTGCGAGCATTGGAAAGGTTTTTTTCCTGTGTGTGTCCCCTCATGTGTTTTCAGGTGACCTGAGTGGGTAAACCTTTTTCCACACTGACAGCATTGGAAAGGTTTTTCTGCAGTGTGTGTCCTCTCATGAATGTTGAGGTTCCCTACCTGGCTAAAACTCTTTACACACTGGAAGCATTGGAATGGTTTTTCTCCTGTGTGTATTCTCTTATGATCTTTCAGATGTGATGACTTGATAAATCTCTTTCCACACTGAGAGCATTGGTAAGGCCTCTCTAAAGAATGTGCTCTCTCGTGTGATTTCAGGTTCCCTCGCTGAGTAAATATATTTTCACACTGGGAACAGTTGTAAGGCTTCTCTCTAGTGTGTGTTCGCTCATGTGACTTCAGGTTACCTAACCGCTTAAACGTCTTTCATTTACATTTACATTTTAGTCATTTAGCAGACGCTCTTATCCAGAGCGACTTACAGGAGCAATTAGGGTTAAGTGCCTTGCTCAAGGGCACATTAACGTCATTTAGCAGACGCTCTTAGCCAGAGCGACTCACAAATTGGTGCGCTCACCCTATAGCCAGTGGGATAACCACTTTACAATTTGGGGGGGGGGGGTTAGAAGGATTACTTTATCCTATCCCAGGTATTCCTTAAAGAGGTGGGGTTTCAAATGTCTCCGGAAGGTGGTGAGTGACTCCGCTCTTTCCACATTGAGTGCATTTGTGAGACTTATCTCCAGAGGGTATTCTCTCGTGTATTTTCAGGCTCCCTAACTGGGTAGATTCAGATTCAGGAAGGTGGTGAGTGACTCCGCTCTTTCCACATTGAGTGCATTTGTGAGACTTATCTCCAGAGTGTTTTCTCTCGTGTATTTTCAGGCTCCCTAACTGGGTAGATTCAGATTCAGGAAGGTGGTGAGTGACTCCGCTCTTTCCACATTGAGTGCATTTGTGAGACTTATCTCCAGAGTGTATTCTCTCGTGTATTTTCAGGCTCCCTAACTGGGTAGATTCCTTTCCACACTGAGAGCATTGGAACAGCTTTTCTCCTGTGGGTATTCTTTCATGTTCTTTCAGGTAACATACCCACTTAAAACTCTTTCCACAGTGGGAACACTGATGTCGTCTCTCTGGTTTGGGCGTCTCTGGGTCTGTTTTCTCCGAAGGACTCTTCCCGCTGTCAGAGGGAGAGTCTGGTCTCTCTCCTGCCAAAGACGAAACAGAGTATCTAGTTAAACAGAGAACAGGATTGTATAAACATTTTTATTTTTTTCATTTTGAGTTGAGAAACGTTTGGAGAAATACGACCCTAAATGAAACCTCCACATGATAAAACTGGCCTTCTCTCAGGTTTAATCCAGACTAGTTCCCTCAATAACCTGAGGTTAGTGTTTTAGATTGTTTAAAGGTCCAATGCAGACATTTTTTAAAATCTCAATATCAAATCATTTCTGGGTAACAGTTAAAATGGTCAACAAGAAACAAAAATAGCTTCTTAGCAAAGAGCAATTTCTCAAGGAGTGTCTGGGAGTGGTCTGAGTGGGGAGAGGAAAACGGAAAACTAGCTGTTATTGGCAGAGAGGTTTGGAACTCTTTCTTATTGGTCTGAGTGGGGAAGGGAAAACGGAAAACTAGCTGTTATTGGCAGAGAGGTTTGGAACTCTTTCTTATTGGTCTGAGTGGGGAGCGGAAAACGGAAAACTAGCTGTTATTGGCAGAGAGGTTTGGAACTCTTATTCATAATGGCAGTGAGGTTTTTATTGAACTTTTATTCATAAAGGGTGGGTCACCATTGAGACCAGGGTCTCATTTACAAGGGAGCCCTGTGAACATGAACATACACAATTTAATACAACATCATGTAAAATAATAATATAAATACAACAAGATTAATCAAAACAAACAACTCTGACATATCACGTCCCTGATGTCACCAGGCAGGCTGAATCTCAAGCCCACAAAAAACAGGCTGAAATTTCAGGCGGCCTTTTCAAAACAGCTCTTACACTTAAAATGGCATCCTCAATATTATTCTCACCTCAGTGTGGAAATAAATATAAAACACGGGAAAATCATGTTTTTTGACTGCAATGGGCCTTTAATCCAGATCCAAATGATCCTTCATCATTTTGAAAAGAAAATGAAAGCCAAGATTTCACCCAAATGTCATGAAATCACACAGGATTTGGTTGTAATAATATAGAGCAGTGGTATGGCTTCTCCCCCTGTTTACTTTTTTTTTTTCTTATGTCTTTTCAGGCTTGGTTGTAATAATATATCATAGATATTACAATCAGATCAGTCTGTCTTACCTTACAGCTAAAATATTAAGGATGTAATAAAACCATTGAGATTTGAAAAACAAATTATGTATTTTTTTGTATTATTTTTTGCTCTTATGGGATGTCCAGTATTTAGACTGATTAAAGCGATACAGAAAGAGATATTCAGAGACATCGGTTCAACAACTGCAGAGTTTTTGCCCCAGTTTAAGATAAAACTCACTGGTGTTCATTAGACCTCCAGTCTCCTCTTCTTCTTCTTCTTCTTCTTCTTCTTCTTCTAATGTAACAGTTATCTCTCCACCCTCCTTAACTCCAAAACCGTCTTCCTCTTCTTTCACTGTGACGTCCATCTCCTCCTCTTTCCCTCCAAAACCACATTGAGAGCAGTGGTATGGCTTCTCCCCTGTGTACGTTTTCTCATGTCCTTTCGGGCTCCCTAACTGGGTAAAACTATTCCCGCAGTGGAAGCAGTGGTGTGGTCTCGCTGGTTTGGACGTCTCTGGCTCTGTTTCCTCTGAGTCTGGTCTCTCTCCTGCCAAAGACAACCAGAGTATTTAGTTTAGGCCGAGGCTACGAATACAGAGTTTTCGCTACGAATACAGAGTTTTCGCTACGAATCCAGAGTTTTCGCTACGAATCCAGAGTTTTCGCTACGAATACAGAGTTTTCGCTACGAATCCAGAGTTTTCGCTACGAATACAGAGTTTTCGCTACGAATACAGAGTTTTCGCTACGAATCCAGAGTTTTCGCCGCCGCCCCGCCCCCCTGGAAACATACTTCTTAAAACTAAGGATCCAAATCACGTTCTGCGCATTCATGTTTCTCTCTTTACCCTCTTCCGAACTCTCAACCAATTTGATCGATATGATGATGTAGCCTGGTCTGAACCATGGGGATGTAGCCTGGCCTGAACCATGGGGATGTAGCCTGGTCTGAACCATGGGGATGTAGCCTGGTCTGAACCATGGTGATGTAGCCTGGTCTGAACCATGGGGATGTAGCCTGGTCTGAACCATGGGGATGTAGCCTGGTCTGAACCATGGGGATGTAGCCTGGTCTGAACCATGGGGATGTAGCCTGGTCTGAACCATGGGGATGTAGCCTGGTCTGAACCATGGGGATGTAGCCTGGTCTGAACCATGGGGATGTAGCCTGGTCTGAACCATGGGGATGTAGCCTGGTCTGAACCATGGTGATGTAGCCTGGTCTGAACCACGGTGATGTCTCTGCCTCATATTTCTGAACAGCTGAAATAAAAACCCTGCTGCGATTTGAACAAACATTCCAAAAATAGATATATTAAGAAGGCTCCAACCTAATCTTGTCTGCTGTAACAGATATTGCCGTAGCACAAGCAGACGCAGGGTACATATTACATTGGGGGCAAAAATAATCTGCGTTGTGTGTGATGATGTAATCTTTACAGTTACGCTGCCATTTAGCCAGGAGTCTGCCTCCTGTTTGCAATGGTGATGGAAAAAATAACATGACATCTCTATTAACTGCCTGTCTGTGACGCGCTTGTTTGATATACTGTATAGGCTACTTATAGCTTGCCTAAACAGCTGCATGTAACTTCCCTCCTGAAAAAAAGAACATGACATTTCTAGACAACTTGTTTGCAATAGCCTACTGTTACAACAGACAAATAACTACTGTTGTTCAAAATGTTTTGTGTACAAGCGGCAGCGGAGTGACTGAGTAGCAGCTGAAAGGAGGTAGGCTAGTGGATCCGGCATCCTCCGTATTTTTTAGCAACAGCAAGCCAGATCCGGAACCGCAGCCACTCCGTTTAGTTTAACAGAGAGATCAGGATTGAATTAACAAGAAACATAGCGGGAGAAAATAGGCCAAATGAACGACAAGCAGGTAGCCTGGCGGGTAGGAGCGGTGGGCCAGTAACCCAAAGGTTGCTGGATCAAATCTCCGAGCTGACAAGGTAGAAATCTGTCGTTCTGCCCCCGAGTAAGGAAGTTAACCCACTGTTCCACGGGCGCCGATGACGTGGAGGTCGATTAAGGCAGCCCCCCGCACCTCTCTGATTCAGAGGGGTTGGGTTAAACGCGGAAGACACATTTCAGTTGAATGCATTCAGTTGTACAACTGACTAGGTATCCCCCTTTCCCATAACAAAAGCTTGTTTTTGTTTTCCGATGCAAAACATTTTGCTACAGTGTTCACTAATGAATACGACCCGGAATGAAACCTCCACATGATAAAACTGTCTTCCTGTGATGTTTAATCCAAATCAGATCGGCCAAATTAATCACTAGGACAAAGACAAGCTGTACAACATCTGGAAACCAAGTCTAGTCTAGAAGTCTGAAAAGTCTGTCTAATATAATAGGATACATTTCATTGTTACGTTTTGTTGGTGACCCCCCCACTCTTTGTAACTTTAACAAAATGGTACAGAACAACATATTCAAATATATAACTTCAGTTCAACAACTGCAGAGTTTGTGCCCGTTTTTAAAATACTACTTACTGGTGTTCATCAGATCTCCAGTCTTCTCTTCTTCCTCCAATGTGACAGTCATCTCTGCCTCCTCCGTCACTACAAAAACTGCTTCCTTTTCTATCGCCTCTTTCAGTTCAAAAACGTTATCTTGCTCTTCCTCCTCCTCTTTCACTCTGAACGCTTCTTCCTCTTCTTTCACTGTAACTTCTTCTTCTTTCACGGTAACAGCCTCACCCTCTACTTGTTTTTGTATTGTAACATCCTCCTCTTCCTCCTCCTCTTTCACTAGAGCTTCTTTCTCCGTCCAGCAGACCTCCTCTTCTTTAGCAGGAGGAGAGTAGCTTAGTGAGCTCATGGTCGGGGATGTTAGCTAGCTAGTTAGCATTAGCGACTAACCTAGTGTTACTTAGCTATATAGCTAATAACGTAAATTAAATGGAGTAACTAGTAAATACGCAGACAGTGTGTTTAAAACACTGAGGTTAATATACACAAAACTGTCCTAAAGCTTCGATGTTAAGGTTTTATGTTGGCTACGGAGGCGGCTGAACTGTTGTTGTTGAAGAAGCGTCCCGTCCACGAGATGATACCTGACGCACGACGCGTCATCTGAAATACTCACATCGCCATCTGCTGACTGCAGTCGGTAGCACAGTTTAACAAAACCTTCTGGCAAAAACAATGGAAACAAGTCATTGGTAAATAACCCGTTTTCTCTTACTTCTTACAGATCATTTCCTCTACGCAGATGTAGAAGCTGAATATGAACATAATTAATAAACCCTGTTATGAATAAACCCTGTTACGATCAACCCTGTTATAAAAGGTAATGTGTTAAAACATCCTCTGTTTGTTGTTCTTTCTTCACATTAATAGTTTTAATCTAGATGAGAGCAACAACAACATACTATTACTTTACAGGGGCAATCTGCAGTTCAAACAATAACAAGGCATTACCACACCCCTGTTTTGATAAAAAGCTGGAGAAATACAACCACTCTCAAATTCATAGACAGAGCTATGGATGCAAGGACTGACCATCCATGATATAACAATTATAGTTTTTGCCATGTTTTCAGGCTAACAGTGTTTACAAACAATGGAGTTAAACAGACATATATGTTGGGTTCTGATGGGGTACGGCAGTTGAACTAAGGTCATTAGGCATATACAGTGCATTCGGAAAGTATTCAGACCCCTTGACTTTTTCCACACTTTGTTACCTTGCAGCTTTATTCTAAAATTGATTATATATTATATAAGGTCCCACAGTTGACAGTGCATGTCAAAGCAAAAACTAAGCCATGAGGTCGAAGGAATTGTCCGTAGAGCTCAGAGACAGGATTGTGTCGAGGCACAGATCTGAGGAAGGACACAGTGGCCTCCATCATTCTAAATGGAAGAAGTTTGGAACCACCAAGATTCTTCCTAGAGGTGGCCGCCCGGCCAAACTGAGCAATCAGGGGAGAAGGGCCTTGGTCAGGGAGGTGACCAAGAACCCGATGGTCACTCTGGCAGAGCTGCAGAGTTCCTCTGTGGAGATCAGAGAACCTTCCAGAAGGACAACCACCTCTGCAGCACTCCACCAATCAGGCCTTTATGGTAGAGTGGCCAGACTGAAGCCACTCCTCAATAAAAGGCACATAACAGCCCGCTTGGAGCTTGCCAAAAGGCACCTAAAGACTCTCAGACCATGAGAAACAAGATTATTTGGTCTGATGAAACCAAGATTGAACTCTTTGGCCTGAATGCCAAGTGTCACGTCTGGAGGAAACATGGCACCATCCCTACGGTGAAGCATGGTGGTGGCAGCATCATGCTGTGGGGATGTTTTTCAGTGGCAGGGACTGGGAGACTAGTCAGGATCGAGGGAAAGATGAACAGATCAAAGTACAGAGAGATCCTTGATGAAAACCAGGATCTCAGACTGGGGCGAAGGTTCATCTTCCAGCAGGACAACGACCCTAAGCACACAGCCAAGACAACGCAGGAGTGGCTTCGGGACAAGTCTCTGAATGTCCTTGAGAGGCCCCGCCAGAGCTCCAACTTGAACCCGATGGAACATCTCTGGAGAGACCTGAAAATAGCTTTGCAGCAACGCTGCCCATCCAACCTGACAGAGCTTGAGCGGATATACAGAGAAGAATGGGAGAAACTCCCCAAATACAGGTGTGCAAAGCTTGTAGCGTCATACCCAAGAAGACTCAAGGCTGTAATCGCTGGCAAAGGTGCTTCAACAAAGTACTGAGTAAAGGGTCTGAATACTTATGTAAATGTGATATTTCAGTTTTGTATTTTTAATACATGTGCAAAAAAATCAAAACAACTATTTTTGCTTTGTTATTATGGGATATTGTGTGTAGATTGATGAGGGAAAAAGTAAAGGGGTCTGAATACTTTCCGAATGCACTGTACAAGTTATATTGTTAAAGAGTCAAAGTATACATCATTCATTTAAAAGTTTGAAATTGGATGTAGCAAATTGCCCCTTTAAAGTCACACGGTTAGATGTGACCATACATTTTACATTTACATTTTAGTCATTTAGCAGACGCTCTTATCCAGAGCGACTTACAGGAGCAATTAGGGTTAAGTGCCTTGCTCAAGGGCACATCGACAGATCTTTCACCTAGTCGGCTCGGGGATTAGAACCAGCGACCTTTCGGTTACTGGCACAACGCTTACCCACTAAGCTACCTGCCGCCCATACTATTCCCTTAAAGTCACTATGTAAGATGTGACCATACTATTCCCTTAAAGTCACTCTGTAAGATGTGACCATACTATTCCCTTAAAGTCACTCTGTAAGATGTGACCATACTATTCCCTTAAAGTCACTCTGTAAGATGTGACCATACTATTCCCTTAAAGCCACTCTGTAAGATGTGACCATACTATTCCCTTAAAGTCACTCTGTAAGATGTGACCATACTATTCCCTTAAAGCCACTCTGTAAGATGTGACCATACTATTCCCTTAAAGTCACTCTGTAAGATGTGACCATACTATTCCCTTAAAGTCACTCTGTAAGATATGACCATACTATTCCCTTAAAGTCACTCTGTAAGATGTGACCATACTATTCCCTTAAAGTCACTCTGTAAGATGTGACCATACTATTCCCTTAAAGTCACTCTGTAAGATGTGACCATACTATTCCCTTAAAGTCACTCTGTAAGATGTGACCATACATTCCCTTAAAGCCCCTTGTAAGATATGGACCTACTATTCCCTTAAAGTCACTCTGTAAGATGTGACCATACATTCCCTTAAGCCACTCTTAAGATGTGACCATACTATTCCCTTAAAGTCACTCTGTAAATGTGACCCTACTATTCCCTTAAAGTCACTCTGTAAGATGTGACCATACTATTCCCTTAAAGCCACTCTGTAAGATTGACCATACTATTCCCTTAAAGCCACTCTGTAAGATGTGACCATACTATTCCCTTAAAGTCACTCTGTAAAATGTGACCATACTATTCCCTTAAAAGTCACTCTGTAAGATGTGACCCTACTATTCCCTTAAAGTCACTTGTAAGATGTAACCATACTATTCCCTTAAAGTCACTCTGTAAGATGTGACCATACTATTCCCTTAAAGTCACTCTGTAAGATGTGACCATACTATTCCTTTAAAGTCACACTGTTAGATGTTAGGAAGGCCACCAAAAATTCTGAAATTTCCATCCCCAACTACAACATTTTCCATCTCGATAGAACTGTCAATGGGGGTGGGGTTGCAATCTACTGTAGAGATAGCCTGCAGAGCTCTATCGTACTATCCAGGTCTGTGCCCAAACAGTTTGAACTTCTAAAAATCCACCTTTCCAGAAATAAGTCTCTCACTGTTGCCGATTGGTACAGACCCCCCTCAGCCACGAGCTGTGCCCTGGACACCATATGTGAACTGATTGCCCCCCATCTATCCTCAGAGTTCGTACTGCTTGGTGACCTAAACTGGGATATGCTTAACACCCCGGACAACCTACAATCTAAACTAGATGCCCTCAATCTCACACAAATTATCAAGGAACCTACCAGGTACAACCCTAAATCTGTAAACATGGGCACCCTCATAGATATCATCCTGACAAATGTACCCTCTAAATACACCTCCGCTGTCTTCAACCAGGATCTCAGCGATCACTGGCCTATTGACTTTCCCCATTCATAGGGCCGCGG